AAGTGTGGTCCACCTTAAAAGATTTTTACTCCACAAAATTTTATTGCCTATCAATTGAGATTTGAGATTGATCCAATGTCCCAGCAAGTGTATTTATGCTTATGGGTATTCAAATTTTATTGTGAACTATTAAAGTTTCTATAATAACTTTTTTGCCTAAGATTGCACAAAATTTTAGTAATTATTTAGTAGGTAGAATTTTATAAATTCTTTGCAGGTTATAGCTTGCATAGGCACACTATTTCCCAATCTTGAGACATGTGTATAAAGTTAGTTTTAATGCTCTAAAATCTAATCTTAGGAGGAAAGCAATACTACCACGATATTACCACATGAAAATTGCACAATAAATTGTGAATATAAGAGTAAAATGCATGCTAAATATGATAACTAAATTAGGTGTCTTCCTCCACATTAATTGAAGTATAGATATTGAACATAAAACAATTTCTGACAAATATAAGATTTGTTAAAATAATATTTGGGTTGATATCCTTAAGGTCTTACTAGTAACAGTAAAGTTTTATAACATTAAAGAGGAGAATTGCAATGGCAAATTAATCATGGTAATCAAACTTGATGAAATGGAATTGATAAAAAGATGCAAAATGGAGTGTGTATCTATTAGCATCATGAACAAGGCATTCAAAACTCAGCTACAGCAAGATCATATGCATACACAATCAAAATATAATCTTTGATATATAATTGTTTTTTCTTTTAAGCATAATTTTCCTTTTATCATATAGTTTTCTTGGGATTATCAAGTTCTACAAGAAACCCTCAAGTCCTTAAAGTTTTTTCTTTCCTAAACCCAACTTCTAGAGGTTATTAGATTTTGATGAAATACTCTATGTATATAGTCATGATAAATTCAAAGTGGAATTTTAACTACAAATTTAAAACCATATAATGTCTTTATGGTTTAAATAAGAGTGTTTTTTTAATGTATAAGTAATTTTTAATGTATAATGTAGAACTCTTCTAGTTTAAATAAGTGGTTTAAATTTATACACTAACACTGAGTCAATAGGGTGGACTTTTAGTTCTCTATTTTTGCTACCAAACTGAGATATATCCTTAGTAATTTTACCAGTACCCCTTCAACATATACACATTTACACTTTACATGCATTTGTAAGAATTGTGGAAAAGGTAATAATGCTCTTTTCCATGTTTGTATGGAACAAACAACCATTATCTGCATCAAATTTAGCTATAAAAAAAGTGAAAAGCATTTTATCAAAAGTTAGTTTATATGGAAGACATATATGAATTGAGAAGTCAGAAAGACTACTACTGTCCCTTCTAAACCTTTTTTAGGAGGTGATAAAGCAAGACACTTTTTTTATCATAATCATCTTAAATATCATTTGGTAAGTATCAACATACATTTTTATATTTTAATCAAGGTATTTAGGAAAGAGACACTTTTTAGGCATGTGGTATTTTGGAGAAAATTTTATAATTGCAAAGGATTATTTCAATTAGAATGGTCTTAATATTGAATGCATGGAAAGAATTATAGAAGATGCCTATATTTTTCTCATGAAACTAGGTTTACACACCTTTAACATTGCAATATTTGCAAAGATATTTACTTATCCGCTCCCTATGCATCAATAAAAGAGCAAATAAACATGTGGTAAAGTGTTTTTTTTTTCAATATTTAGCTTTAATTAATCATCACTTCTTAGCATATTCATTATGTACATAGAGCATACTTTATAAATTGTTATGTTAATTTTGCTTTATGGAACACAAAAGGAATGGAAAAATTATACAAATTGGCTTGTCATGCATATTTTATAATGACATAGCATAAAAGTTATCATGAAGGATCAAACCCTTTAAAACAAGCTTTGAAATGGTTTTATAGAGGTGTTCTAGCTTGTGAACAAGAAAAAATATTTTCAAGTATAGGGGAGCTAAGTTGTAGAAAGTATTTCTCTAAATCTATTTATATAACCATAAGTTTTAAACATATTCTACAAAAGATATTTAACTTAACCCAGCCTTTTATTTTCTTCCCATTTAACCTAAATTGGAAGTCGTCCAGATTACCTTCAAGTATCTCTCTTAGGTTCCTAAGACTAGCTTTCCATAACTTTTGAAATTTTATATAAAGCTTCAAACCACCAAATCTTAAATTCACAAACAGTAGTATATATGTGCCATCTTTATCACCTTGCTCTACATTAGTCATATCAAAATAACTCAACTTTATTCACTTTTCCAAATGAACATTCTTTGAGTTCTTTTCATTGTAGCTGCATTAAAATAAATTGCAAAAAATGGGGGAAAAAGAACTTGTCATTGTAAATGAGCTTTTACACCCCATCTAAACTTAAGTGCAATGCACATAATGGAAAATGTAACACATGTGATCATAAAATGAAATTTGGATATGTTGTCATTGTGAATCCTTAAAATCTTGGGGGATATATAAAGATAAAATTACCACTAAAAGGGAAAGATTTACTCTTTATCTTGAGTTAATGCTTCATAAATATGTTAAATTTTGATCTCATAGGCAAAATTATCATCATGTGCTCTAAAGCTTATTATTTTACCTTTCAAATTGTCAATAATATTAAAAACTAGCTTTTTATCTACTTTAAACCCTCCTTGAGTTATTGTCACCTAGGAATTGAAACTAATCCTAAACGTCCATTATCCTTTAGAATCTAGACTAATTGTTTGGATGGTCTAACTAGTAAATCCTTGCTAATTACCATTGAAAAGCTACATTCAACTTGATATTGCTCCTTATTAGTGTCTTTGACTTTTGGAGGATTTTCTAACTCACCAATTGCATAAAAAACAAATTTATAAGGAATCAATAAGAAAAAGAAACATACTCTAAAATAACTTCTAGAACCTTAGAATCCAATGTGCATGGCTGTCTCCCCATTGGCCAACTAAGTTCTTACGATTAGAGTGATGTCACATATGAGCACTTGATCTTGGACCATTATACTGGCTGAATTTGTGACAAAGTGGCTTTGTGTTACATGATCGATGGCAATCATTGGTGAGTGATTGTTAATTCTGTGTAACTAATTTTTATATGCCAGTAGATTGGTTTATATTTAACTGAATCCAGTTAAAATTTTAAAAGTAGGTGACTTGAGCTACATATAGTTCAAGTCATTTAAACAACGTGATTAATTGTGTTAATGAAAATTACAGCCATAAGAAATGCATCTTTCAAGTGGTCTTCAGTCTGAAGTTCATGCACTTAAGCAGTCATCTAAAGATTTTCCAATTTTTATTAGACAACCATATTCTTAATGTCTTTAAAACATATCATCAATGAATTGTAAAGCCCACTTTGCCACAGGTGAACTCTTGTGCATCTAAATGAGTTGGTATTAGCAAGAACTTATAAGAAACCAAAAACATAAAAGGGTAAAGAGAAATATACTTTGAAAAGATACTTTATCCTTTATATGAACCGGTCTTTATAATTAAGCAATTGCCTTTTTGCCAGTTATAGAATACTATAATATTTTGGAAAAATATTATAAAATATTCTTGCATTTTAAAAAAAATTTAAAACAGTTGGTTAGGGTTTTCTTCTCTAGTTGACGGAAAAAATGCAATCTAGCCCAAATTATCAAGGTGTTACTCTTGCTCTTTCATATTGGTCCTTCAGGGAGATTGAGAATGGATATACATGGGGGTATGGTTGTAAAGCCCTTTAGGCTAATTCATATCATTCTTTCCTCCTTCACACAAGCCTCATCCCCAGAAGAAGAGGGGGGCTTGGTCTTATCCTCTATGTCTCCTCCACATGCCACCTTTAACACCCTGTCTAGAGGTCTCTATTGCCATAATAGTCCCTCCTCTATTTGTGTTTTAAAGCATGAGATCCACCACTTAGTTGCTCTGACTTGTTCCTTTTTTGGAGAGTAGCATATCTGGACCACTGCTAACAACAACCTCCACCATGTTGATACCATTGCCAAGATTCGTGTGTGTGTGCCCTTAGAATGGCTTCCCACACCTGGGCACTCAAGGCTGTCCAAATCACCCACCGTTCTTGTCCCATGGCCTAGACCGAGACTCCAATCTCCACTCCTTGTACATCCCACCTAACTCAGGTTCCCTATCCATGTCACCCGGCTTGAGCTTGCCCCCCCCCCCCCCTTGCTAGGTTGTAACTAAACGTTTTAATCGAAGATACCTGAAGTGCAAAATGAAGAAATTGAGAAATATACTAAAAATGTATATCTGAAAGACATTTATTACATGAAGTAAAGTTGGCTGAGCTATAGAGTCATGTTTATGGCTTTCTTTGGCATAACTGGCCTAAACTGTATGTCATCAGCACCAGGAGGTAGTGATGATGGTTCTGATAACAAGTGCCACTAGTGGTACGGGCAAGAACAATCTCAACAACACCAAGTAGAGGTGGAAAGAAAAACATAACAATTGCAAGCAAGCAATTTCTTCATGATGATGACGAACTGCAGTAGCAACAAGAACAACATTATAGATCTGATCAACCACCTAAGCCTGACAAAGAGTTCAAACATGTGAGATCACTCTGTCTGATTTACAATGATCCTTAAAGAATCATAAGTTCTCGCTATCATATTTGTACCTTTCTTCTAATCTAGCTCAATGTTAGACTTGCTCAGACGGGGATCAGGAATCCCACCACCACGCTTCTCGCTCTGGGAATGTGCTCCAAAAATCTCACTCACGGTGATTCATCAATGATCACTTTTGGCAGTAAGTATTCCTTTTTCTTTCTTCTTTTCGTCTTATATTTTGTTATGGTCCGGGTCTTCTCCTTTGTCATTGATGGAGCTTCGTTTTCTCGGATGTTTGCAGAGCTTGGAGCTTGTTCTTGATACGTCGTGGCTCCAATGTCTCCAACTTGAGGAGCTCCACGAAGAAGCCAGTGGATGTCCTGGCACGTCCACCAGAGCTCGCTACTCCATGGAGATTTGCCAAGACACAGAGCGACAAGATTTCGCAGCGCTTCCAGATTGCTAGAACGAAAACCTTATTCTTAGTGATAAGCTTCTTTACATAGCCAAGCCACCATTAAGCCTTACCACCTGGCCATTAAGCCACTCGCCAGCATCGCTCACGATCAACGCAACCATCTCCACAATATCCTTGACTTCCCCGAGCCTCTTGAGTGGCGTTTGATCCACGAATCGCTGGATCATCTCCTCGCTCTTGCCCTCAAAGAAGAGCTCAGTCGCAACAGGCCCGGGAGCTACACAGTTCGCAGTGATCTTCCTCGCCCCAACTTCCTTGGCGAGGATCTTGGTGAAAGTCTCCACGGCAGCCTTGCTCGCGGCATAAGCTCCGTAGCCCAGTGGCAAATTCGCCACCACTGTGGACGTGATGTTGACGATCCTTCCGCCGCCGCGATCGTCCAGGCGCTTGGCAGCCTCCTTGCAAGCCATGAAACACCCCTTCGTGTTCACCGAGAACACCCAGTCCCAATCCTCGGGAGAGGTTTCTTCCAGCTTGGGATAAGTGGAGAGCAAAACCCCGGCAGCGTTGACGAGGATGTGAGGCTTCTTCTTGAAGTGGCTCTCGGCGGCATCGAAGAGGAATTTCACATCGGACTCGCGGCTTACCTCGACCTGGACGATGAGCGCGCGATCTTGGCCGTGGAGGGACTGGATCTGGGTGGCGACCTCCTCGGCCTGCGCGACATTCTTCTGGTAGCCGATGACGATGCTGGCGCCGTAGGAGGCGAGCGTGAGCGCTATCTCGCGCCCAATGCCGCGGGACGCCCCGGTGACGATCGCCACACGGCCCTCCAGTCCCCTGTTCATGGCACTATTCCACCAAGAACCCTATTTCTGAGTGAACCCTAATTCAAAGTTGGTCAAAATTTTTAGTCAAAACCACTGCTTAAGTCAAATTGACTTGAAAGCCCAAAGCGCTTGTCTCCCTGGGCCGTGGTAAATTTAGAATGAGCTTTTAAAAGACAATGGAAGGAACAAAACGTCTCATCTAAAGTGTATTTTAAAAACGATGCTAATTCTCCCGGCAAGTGCAGCCCTGTTTGGCAGCTTTGTCAAAGCTCCTGGTTATCTCCTCCAGAGTACGGTCAGTATCGATGTTGTAAGGCATGTCTCCTGAACTGGATCCGGCATATGGTGTTCCCTTGAGTTTGTCCTCACTGTCGGGGAAATAGTTTTTCAGCTTGTTCAGCATCTTGGAAATCCTCTCTACCAGTTGAGCGTTATAAATACCATCAGCATCGTGCCGCAATTGGATGTCATGCACGGGGTCGAGACCCGCCGGGGCCAGCTTTGCTGCAGCATCTGGACGCCGGAGCAACTCATAGACCAGCAAACCTGGCTTAGACATCTCAAAAGGATTCATCCCAGGTTGAATCTTAAAACTTAGTGAGAAGACATCTACTGCCGGAGGCTTCACATACACAGGACAGTACTGGAGAATAGTTTGAAGCATCTCAGACTTAGACACACCACTATGAGATTCATCTTCACTTACTTTCTTTTTCTTGCTTTGAGATGATGATTTTGCTACTCTCTTCCTGTTCTTCTTCTTCTTCCTCTTCTTCTTCTTTTTCTTTTTCTTCGTCTTCTTCTTTTTGCAAATCGGCCTGTTCCTCGTCCTTTTGTTGCTGGTCTTCTTCTTTTTTGTCTTTCCATGTATCTTGGACCATCCTGTAAGCTGCTATGAACATTAACCTCCAGTAGATAATCCACCCACAGGAATCACTTCTAACATCAATGCCAAAGTTCGTTCTGCCTCTAAAACTCAAAGACCTCATGCTGCCTAATTCCTGTGAAGGCTAAAAGTGGTCTCTTTAAATAGCGGAAAAACTTCCATAGCAAGCCACACGAGGTATATCACTAATCTAGCTTTTAATGCGAACTGCTTTAAGTCTTATTAAAGTGAAGATTCGGATGCTTTTTGGAAGAGCGAGATTGTCCATTTTACAAGCTGAATAGGATCATCGATTGGCAGGCCAGCCAAGCTCAGCCATGGCTTTTGACTTGAAATGCAGTTCTAGATCTATGCGAAAATCAATGCATTATCATCTGACACCATCGATATATGGAGAAATAGGCAGACAACAATGATGGAAGCATATGTTAAAAATTCATCTTCTATTCGCCCCGATGGGAAAAACGACTCTCTCACATGAGGAAAAGAGAGGAGATAAAACAGTACTGATCTTAACATGCTAGACTTTCCTCGTTCTCGCGATGGTCGTAGCGATCCATATCTTCTATCAGCCAATGAGTAATCTCTGCAACGATGTTCGGTTGGCGTAGCTTCGTAGCGTGTAGTTAGTCATGCGACATGGCCTGCATACTCCACGGTGACGAGTTGAGATGCTGTTCACCCAAAGTGATCTCTGACCAAGCTCCATGTCCATATCTCTGAATTGCAAGCTGGGACCCGGTATTGACGAGCACAAACGCGTGTAGAATCACGGTAGCCGGGGCGTCACCTCCGGCTCCATGTGGACATGAAGACCGCGAGCTGGCTCACCTTGGCTCACCTCAGTAGTGACGCACATTGTGTCCCCACGTCAAGGTTTGAGCGGGAGACAATCCCCAGACAAGATGCCTCGGATCACGAGGACGCAAGCTCTGCTTCTGCTTTTCATGACGCGACAGTAAGCTGCAGCAGAACTGCTGCTGCCTCATGGTACCAAGGAGGCAAACAAAACAGAACGCTTCAGGAAAGAAGGAAGAAAGAACATTATAAGAAGTGGAGGCACTGCTCGACAATTGCTTCCCTGCAAGCGTCTGTGCCAGCATTCGAAGAAAATGTCATTGCTTGCGATTTTCAGGAGCTTTCTAAGTACAACGTTAACAAGGTAGCAGCCAAAAATTGAGATTTCTCCAGTATCACACTACCGTCAATTTCAGGGTGTGATTTGGTGGCGATCAAGCGAGTGTGCTTAGCTTTAAGGGAAGAATTAGTGATCTCAATGCGAATTCTTCTCATTATAGAAAATACAAAAAACGATTCATACATTCCAGACAAATCCTAGTTAAGCTCTCAGGCTACCACAGTCAGTCTCCTTGAATCCAATCCTCCGATTGTCCATGTCGTGCAGCACAAAGAAATCCTGCTGCTGGAGGTTCCCAAAGATTGACACCTCGTTCGTGGGAACAAAGATCAAGCACTGGAGACTCCCCAGATCGATCACATAGTTGCTTGGACGCGTCACAAAATCGGCACCACCATTGAAATGGAACGTAATGTCCGGGAGACCCTGGCCGGACGATGGCGGCACCCGAAAGCACGCATCCAGGCCCTTGATCGCCACAAATTCCGCGCCGGAAACCATGGACGCCAGCGATTGCTTGATGGAATCGCACACCCCGGGCGGGAGCATCGTGAGCGTTGTCCCCGAATCGAAGATGGTGGGCTTGTCCTGGCCGTTGAGGAATGCGCTGGGGGAGAGATCCAGCCGTTGGTTTCCAACCGAAATTCCATCCAGCCGGACCGTGTAGTAAATGGAGCTTTCGCCAATGGGCGTGTACTGGAGCTCTTGGAGCTTGCCGGAGCCGGGCTCCTTGAGCTCCACCGCGGCCTCTCCAAAAACCATTGGGCTTTTCTTGAGCGAATTCTGGGCGGTCTGCCGGAGGAGACAGTAGGAGAACTTGTTGCCATACTTCTCTCCAATCTGGGACGGAAACGAGAGCGATCCGGGCGAGAGAGCGAGGATTCCAACTTCGCCGGAGATGAGACCCTTGAGGAGAGAGCCGCAGCCAAACACGAAACCCGGGAACTCTTCCAGCTCGTCGCTCGCGGCACCCGCCATCTTGAGCGTGTCCACGGAGAGATCTCCCTGAGTGAAGGAGCCGTCGCCATAGCCGTAGGAGTACTGGCAGCCGGAGCTAGCCGAGGAGGAGGAGCTGGAGCAATCGGTGTGGCGCAAGTAGGAGCATACATCATCCGCACAAGTGAGAGCCTTGTAAGTGTTGGAAGCCAGGCGATCGAAGGTGGAGCTGCAGTCCGGGGAGCAAGGATCGCACCGGACCCAGGTGAGATCACTGCCGGTGTCCATGACGAGCGAGAAGTCCTTGGGTGGCGAGCCGAGGGTGATGGTGGAGTAGTAGACACCGCCATTGGTGAAGCTCACAGGAGTCTGGGCGAGGTCGTGCTCCACTTCTTCCTCGGCGAGATGGCGATGATCCGAAGAAGAGCGATTCGGGGAGTTTGACGAGACGAGCCTGCTGGCGAGAGCTCGAGCTCGAGCGAAGTCGTGGGTGACAACTTCGTGGAGGAGCTCGTCAAGGAAGCTCCGCGTGAGTGACGAGAAAGAGTGCAAAGATCCCCACTTGTCGAGCCTGCTCATTCCCAGCTTGATCCCCGGCAAAGATCTTTGCTGCTCCTCCCTCGCGAGATCCCTGAGCACCCGATCGTTACTGCGAGAAGCAGCAGCAATCAAGATGGAGACTAGTAACAGGACGATCCTCATCGTGGTGACGAATGGATTCCAGCGCCAGCCAGTGCTAGAAACGTAGAACTCTCCAACTTTAAATGGAGATTTCCTCTCCACAATCCAAGGAAGTCTCGGCCAACCCGCAAGCTTGAATGAAGATCTGGACGTTGTTGATTGACCCGGGATTCCCCCACCACCATTTTGATCGTTTGCAAAGCATTCGCCGCTACTTATTTGCTTGAGCTCTTCCACAGATTCGCCATTAGCGTGTACGCTGCAGCATCGCTTCCTCCCACGTCCACAAAGGCCTGAAACGCAGCCTTTCCAATCTCCACATTGCCCCATTTCTTGCAAGCTCCCAGCACCGTCGTCCACACCGTCTCGGTCGCTTGGAAGGGCATCTCCTTCGCCATAGCCAGAGCTTCTTCCAGCTTGTTCGCTCGTCCCAGCATGTCCACCATGCACAGGTAGTGCTCCATCTCTGGAGAGATCCCGTGCTTACGAGTCATCCCCTCGAACAAACTCTGGCCTTTCTTCACGAGCCCGGCGTGGCTGCACGCCGTCAAGATGGTCACGTAAGTCACGCCGTTTGGACGTAAGCCCTGTTCTTGCATGGCGTCGAAAAGCGCAAAAGTTTTGCTCGTGTCTCCCTGGTGACTGTATCCTGAGATCAAAGCGGTCCAGATCACTAGATCTCTCTCGCGAACCGAATCAAATACCTCCTGAGCCTTGTCCATGGCCCCGGATTTGCTGAAGAAATCCACCAGACAGGTCGCTAGAACGGGATCATCCTCGATGCCTCTTCGGCAAACTTGAGCGTGGATCGAGCTCCCGGCCTTGAAATCCACCAGGCTCGCACAAGCTTTGAGAGCTGCGACGTAAGTCAGGGAGTTGGGTGAGAATCCCGCACAGACCATCGAAGAGAACAGCCCGAGAGCGATCTTGCCTTGGCCGTTCTCGGCGAAGCAGTCGATCAGCGTGCTCCACGACACCACGTCGTGATGTTTCATCCCGTCGAAAGCTTTCCGAGCGTCGTCGCAGCTCCCGCAGCTTGCGTACATGTCCACCAGCGAGCTTGAGACGTGAACGTCGTGATCGAGGCCACTCTTCAAAGCTTGCGAGTGAAGAGCCATGCCTTTCTCCAAGGACTCGAGCTTTAGAACTTTGCCATCGATCTGTTTTCCCTGTTCTTTCGCTGCGTACCGAGCACAGGCCTTGAGAGCAGTGACAAACACTCCGGAGCTTTGGAGCCGGGATTCTATCCCAGAGAAAAGCTCGAGAGCTAAAAGTTCTTGTCCGTCTTCCACGTAGTTAACAAGGAGAGTGTTCCATGCGACGAAATCATACGATTCCATCCCATCAAAAACTCTCCTTGCGTCCGCCATGCTCCCACACTTTGCATACAAATCGACAAGGCTGTTGGCGACGAACATCTCAGCCGAAAATCCGTTTTGTGCCGCTCGGGAGTGAAAAGCCATGGCTTTCTCAAGCCACACAAGCTTCTTTCCCGCATCTCGTCCAGCTTCTCTGGCCGCCAAGCCCGAGCAAGCCTTGAAAAGAGCCACAAAACTCCGCTGATTCGGCTCACAGAACTCAACCATGTCGTAGAAAACCTCCAGAGCAGCTTCTTCCTCGCCATTCTCCGCGCATCCCAGCATGAAAGCGTTCCACAAAACCACGTCTTTGCCGCGAGCCGATCCATCAAAAATCCTCCGAGCATCAACCATGCTCCCACACTTTGCAAACATGTCGATCAGAGTGCTCGCCAGGAAAGCATCGGTATCAAAACCATTCTTTGCAGCCAAAGCCTGGAGAAAAACTCCTTTTTCCAGAGCCTCCATCTTGACAAGCCTCCCATCCAAAACCTTGCCACCTTCTTTCTCGGCCAAACCACTGCAAGCCTTGACAGCAGCAACATAAGTCCGAGCATTTGGCTTGCATCCTTCGGCCATCATGGACGAGAAAACCTCGAGAGCCAAATCGTGTTCTTGGTTCTCCACACATCCGAGGATCAGTGCCGTCCACAGCACCACGTCTCGCCTCAAACTCCTCTGGAAAGCCTTGCAAGAACTCTGGAGCCTCCGACACTTCACATAAGCATCGACCAAGCTCGTCGCCACAAAGATATCCGAGTCAAGGCCACATTTTTCCGCTCGGGAGTGCAAATCCAAGAGCCTCTCGAGCTTCTCTTCGTCGCTCCCAGCCAGGATTCCGCACGCCCTCACTGCAGTAGCAAAGCTTCGAGCGTTTGGAGCGTGGGTCATCCGCGAGAGGAGCTCGAGTGCGAGCTCTCCATGCCCGTTTTCCACGTATCCAAGCATCAGCGCGTTCCAGGAGGCGACTGTGCGCGAAGAGATCCTGTCAAAGACGCTCTTTGCATCGGCGAGGCTTCCACACTTGGAGTACATCGCGACGAGGCTGTTTGCGACGTAGATGTTGGAGTCGTCACTGCTCTGGATCGCGGCGGCGTGGACGGCCTTGCCCTTCTCGAGATCTCTGGCAGCGCTGCACGATTTGAGCGCGTCGAGCAGGGGAGAGAGGTCTTTGTGCTGCTGTTGCCTTGCCATGGCTTGGAATGGATCCATGCTTACCGCGCATTGGGGAGAGAGATCTTTGTGCTGCTGCCCCGCGGCCCTTGCCATGGCTCGAATCGCCAGGGCAAGTTGGAATGGATCGATGCTTACCGCGCATTCCTAGGGCTGCGCCAAGATTGAAAGAGTAAAATTGCGCTGGAAAAAGCGATCGAACCGGTTAACAGCTTATAAATCTAATGACATATTTATGGTAATAATTGTAATTGTAATTTACCATATTCAATTTAATTTACGCTGGAAGGAGGGATCGAACCTTCGACCTTGTGGTTAACAGCCACACGCTCTGACCATCTGAGCTATTCCAGCTTATAAAATCTAATCACATAATTATGGTAAAAATTATAGGTAAAATTTTTAATATTACTTTTCATAATTCACGCTGGAAAGAGGGATCGAACCTCCGACCTTGTGGTTAACAGCCACACGCTCTGACCATCTGAGCTATTCCAGCTAATAAAACTTAAATAAAATATTATGGTAATAATTATCACATTTTAGAGATAGGGCTGACGTGTTATACCCTTTGGCGCGAACCCCATTCGAATTGTTTTGGGGCCGTGGTGATCGATGGCAGGGCAATCCGGGGCTGTGGCCAGAAATTTCGAGCGATCCCTTCGCAGGAATGTGTTGCAACGCTTCTCGCCATGGGATTTCATGGGCCCGAGCTGCGCGAGATGGGACGATTGCTGTTATTCGAGGTCAGTAGCATATAGAGCGAGAAATTCCATTCACGCGAGATGACGAACGAAAGGCTCTCCGAATTTGCGATCCAACCAGCAGGAGCGGCAGGGGTTTAGCCACCAAGAGCGGTGGAAAGAAAGGGAAGTCTCGCTCGAGATCGCCGCCATCGGGCAAGGGAAAGAAAAAATCGGCTAGAAATCCACAGGAGAAACGCATGATTATTGGGCCCAATGAGGAAGAGATGAAGAAGAAGAAAATCCCACACGCCAAAGAGAGCTGGTGGATCAGGGACCCAAAGACGGGATTTTGGGTTCCAGAGGGCTACGTTGCCTCCAGATACAAAGGGCAAGTGATTCCCCCCAACAAGGAGAAAATTCCAAACGATCCAACCTGGTGGATGCCTACGGACAGGCCACCCGTGCAAACAATGCGCTGAAAGAACCCTACTTTCAACTTCACGAGATCTTGCCAAGAACAAAAGAAAATGCTCTGTTACAACGTTTTTCTCTGTGCCTCGAGTTCTAGTTTTTCCACCATCTTCGACAATTTCTCGTCGCCTAACTTTGCGAAGATGCGTTAGATCCATACGTTCTTACGCGTCTATTATTATAAGTTAATTTGCCCTGAGGCCTAGGTAGAGAACGATGGAAGCGATGTGGGAAGAAGTTTTTAGGCTATTCCTCAGGGATATTTTAGAGATGCTTCCGATAGAGGATTTGGGAAGTGTGAGATTGGTTTCTAAGGAGTGGGCAGCGTCTGTGCGTAGAATTCTAAGCTCCTGTTGTTGGCAAGTCCAGGCAAGTGCAACTTTTAGTCAGGAGGAGCTCGAGGTTAAGAATTTGATCCAGCTTTCCCTTGTTCTTCCAAGAAGTCGTGATGGGGAATTATTATTCAAGAGGATGCCGTTGCACTTTTTGATGGACTTTGTGTCCAGGCAAAATGTCAAGCAAGGGTTTGGTCCTCTCACCTATGAAAGCTGTATGGCCTACGATCGCGAGAGTAATCTTGCCTGCTTCTTATTTGCAAGTTGGCAGCAATTCAGTGCTGTATGGACAGTATTTGTGTGCGATCTTTTCAGCAAACAGGTGAAGGTTTTGCCTAGTTTTGAATCCTACGGAACTATTGCCCAGGGTGGAATGGCCATAGTGCTCGACAAGAATGACACACGACGATACCAGCTTCTTGTACCTATGATCTCTTTTATGGGGTTTACACCATGGCACTTTTTGTCGGTCTTCGACTCAAGCAGGAATGGATGGGAGGAAATTGATGGAACGGTAGAGTATTATGTGAACAGCCTGATTACGGACGGGGGTGGATGGTATGGGTTGAAAGCTAATCGGGTGGTCAAGTACGACGAGCAAGAAGATGAAAATTACAAGATCATTGTAAAGCTTGGCCGTGCTGTCACTGGGGAGTGTAGACCCATAGACATCAGGCTTGAGAAGTGGCAGGATGGTTTCTTAGTTGCTCGATATGATCCCATGCACGGGCTACTCAGGCTTTTGAAAGTAGCGGAGGGTAGTTTCAAGGAGGTTGCATGCTTGAGAGGAATCGATGATCCAGAAGTTTTTGATCCAACTACGGTGAAGTTTAGCATCAAGGCTAGGAATGACAAGGTTTATATCGCGTTGCTCAAGCCAACAAAGTGGTATAAACTCATGGAATGGAGTGACGGGGCGTGGAAGCAGCTCTTGGTCGAGGAAGATCAAGAAAAATATACTGATCTTGTCAACGTCCAGCTTGTTTAAGCAATAAGCACTTTTACTTGGTTTGCAAATGGTGGTGGTTTTTTTATCAATGTTTACTAAAGTCTTGCGTATTGGATAAAATAAGTGGCTGGTCGTCCCCTGGCAGCCTTCTTTGCTCTATAATATCAAAAGTCTTGGTTCACATGACAATCGTTTTGGCCCTCTCAGGCTAGAGGGGCTAGTTTAGGTTGATCATGTTACTAATCAAGTAATTATGATACAAACCTCAATTATTGTAAGATAATAAAGATAGGGCTGACATGTTATCTTTAAAAGACCCGCGAAAGAGAGCTGGAACAAAAAAATGCGCTGTTACAACGTTTTTCTCCTTTTCCTGCCCCGAGTTCTAGCGTTTCCACCATCTTCGACAATAGCAATAGTTTCTCGTCGTCTAGAAGAAGAAGTTTGCGAAGATGCGTTAGATCCATCCTCGCCTACAAAACTTTCCCCACTCGCTACTGCTCGAGACGACGATCCACAATCATCTCCTCCAAGCATTGCAGGAGCTCCATCTTCTCCGTCCTCCCCCCCATCACTGCTTGCTCTCAATCCACCATCGTCTTCTCCTTCTCCACTAGAAGACTTCGCCATCAAATCAATCGATCTGGAAGAACTTTCCCCTGCTATCGAAGAACTCTCCACAGAATTGTCAACCCCCTCGTCGCCATCTTCTCCATCGTCCTCCCCATCACTGCTTGCTTTCAATCCACCATCTTCTCCATTCGCCATCAAATCCTCCTCTATCGATCTGGAAGAACTCTCCCCTGCTACCACTCCCTTAGAAGAAGAATCCATCAAAGAGCTCTCCGTCAAATCCTCCTCAATCGATCCGGAAGAACTCTCCCCTGCTACCACAGCCTTGGAAGAAGAATCCATCGAAGAACTCTCCACAGCTTTGCCACCCCCCTTGTCGATCCCAACGTAGACACTCGCCAGCGCGAGATATGGCGACGCCTTCTCGGTGCTGAGCTCCATAACCTTGGCCGCAGCTCTCCTCGCCACCTCCACACCATACTCGCTCTCCACCGCCTTACACGCCGCGAGCAAGCTCCCCCACGCCGCCTCGTCCGCCAGGAAAGGCATCGTCTCCGCCAGCTCCTCCGCCTCGCGCAGCTTCCCCGCCCGCCCCAGCACATCGATCATCGCGCAGTAGTGCTCCTTGATCGCCACCACTCCAAAATCGCCCACCATCTCCCGGAAGATCCCCCACCCCTCCTCGATCGTCCCCTTGTGGCTGCAAGCCCCCAGCAAGCTCACGAACAAGAACTCGCTGGCGGCGTTCGTCCCATCCAGATTCATGAGCCGGAAGAGCTCGATCGCGCTGGAGCAGTGGCCATTGTGTGCATACGCCGCGATCATGAGATACCACGACGTGGGATTCCACCCGGGCATTCGAGCGAAGAGCTCCTCGGCGCGATCCACCCTGGCCTTGCTCGCGTATCCGGCGATCATCGCGTTCCAGACCACGGCGTCGTGCCAGGGCATCCGCGAGAAGACGCGATCCGCGCGGCGGAGGTCTCCAGCGGCGACGTAGGCGGAGATCATCGTCGTCCAGGACACGACGTTCTTCCCAGGCATCCGGCGAAAGAGGGCTTTTGCCGCAGCGATCGATTGCGGCCTGGCGGCGTGGGCCGCGAGCATCGAATTCCAGAGCACGGCGTCCCTGGCAGGGCAGCGCGCGAAGATCTCCTCCGCCTCCTCGAGCGGCCGCTGCCAGGAGAGCAATCCCTGGAAGAGCGACGTCCACGACACCACGCTGCGATCCAGGTTGTCATCAAAGACCCTCTTGGCGCCGTCCGGATCGCCGGCCTCGGCCAGCGCGCGCATCATCGCATTGCACGCCACGGAGTTCCTGCCCGGCATCGCCTCGAACGCGCGCATCGCGTGGCCGCCATAGCCGTCCTCCGCGAGCGCTTGGATGAGCGCCGTCCAGGCAAATACATTGCGAGAGGGCATCTCATCAAAGACTTCTTTGGCCTGGGAAGAATGCCCCTTTTGGGCATTTGCCGCGATGAGCGTTGCCCAAGAGATCTCATCCACCACAGGCATTTGATCGAACAACGCCTTCGCTGATCGAGCGTTTCCAGCTTGCGCGTAGCCCGCGATGATCGAATTCCACGACACGGCGCTAAGATTTGGCATCCGGTGGAGCATTCGCTCGGCCTCCTGCAATTGCCCGCATTGGGCAAATGCTGCCATGACCGTCGTCCACGAGACGATGTCTCGCCGCTTCATCCGATCGAACATCTTCTTGGCGTCGGCGACGCAGCCGTTCTGGACGTAAGCGCCAAGCATGAGATTCCACGAGAATTGGTCGCGGTGCTCGATCTGCTTGAATGCCGCGCGCGCGTCCTTGACGCTGCCGCACCGCCCATACATTTGGACGAGCAGATTGGCGAGGAAGGTGTCGTCGCGGAAATCGGAGCGGACCCGGCCATGGAGGCGCTGCCCTTCGATCAGATCTACGCACGCCCTCAACCTCTGTTCGATTGAGCTCCTGGCGATTTTCACCATTGACAGGGAAGAGCCCTAAAAAACCTCTTCTTTTTAACATATTTTAATTCTTCTTCGTCTCATTCAATTACTTTGTTTCCTCGTCGCGTGATGCAAAGCCAAGATCGCGGCTGCTTGCGCGGCTCCTCGGCTTCATCATTTTCATCGTTGCCTCTGCTAATCGGGAAATGCCAAGAACCATTCTCGCATTCCTGGAGCACGAATTCAGTGAGCGCGTACAAAAAGAGAGAAAATCCGAGAGTAAAACCTGGATCACCGTAGAATATGGGGGCGGCATGTCGAAAAACGGGTTGCTATTCGAGAACCCAAAGCGAGCCTGCGAGAAACATGAACTTCTACTAACTTAAAGCTCGGAGTTTTACCTGATGTCGCTCCTTCCACCGAGGAAATAGATCGTTCCCAAGCATCTGAAAGAGATGGTCTCTCATCTCGTCGTTGCTAACCAGCAAGCACTTGCACGTCACGGCGGCGTAAAGCCAATACCTGGAGAGTGATAAGATTGTAAGGCAAGATGATCTCTTCTCTAGTTTTCTCCAGAAAAAAAAGACTAACCAGTCGTCGTTTGATCCCGTCGCAGCGGTATATAGAGCATTCGCTGCAGTCCACTGCTTCAATAGTTCCTGAGATTGGGGAGAAGCTGCTGGCCCTCCAGTGACGCGCCTTTTATGCAAGATCACCAAGGGTGATTTCCCATGCTGATTTGATAGCTCGGTCACGACGGAATTCAGCTACGAAAACAAAACAAAGTAGAGAGGAGATCAGCGGAAGAACATGTAGCATGCAGTTACCTGTGAGAAACTGAATCCTCCAGCACTGAAGTTCTGATTGAACAAGGCAACGTTTGCGCCATCCACTATGGCATCAAATGGTCCATGCTCGGCCATCCACTCCTGCGATATGCTACAAGTTAATGGCTAACATAAAAAAGAAGAGAAAGATAGTCTTTTTACCTGGAACTCCTTGAAAGAATTTGCGTCGCGTTCTTTCTCACAAGCCAGAGCAGCCAGATTCTCCGCAAACCTGTTCGTTTCTTCTGCGTTAAGATCGACAGCGGCCATCTTGTGCCTGCAGCTTTCGCATACTCCGCTCGCGTCCAAAGCTGTGCGCTTTACACTCCATCCCCCGGAGCCGATCCAGCCGAGTTCGAGACCACCACCACCTTGTGCTGCCAGAGCTCTTCTAACGTCCTCGTCGTCATACTTCTTGTCACTCCCACTGGACGAGGCAGCGTCGCTTGAAAACCATCTCTCAATAGTAGTAGCCGTGGATGGAGAAACTTCTCTCACTGAGCGCCTCAACCTGTGTAGCACCGAGTACACTCTTTGGTCCAGTCCTGCCTTCAAGCTCAGCTCTAGCAAAATTTGGAGCTCCATCTCCTCTGGCTGGACACCGAAGGAGCGCATATGATCGTCAACCTCAAACGCCTTGTCAACCTGGTTGGACTTGAAGTAAGTGTAGAGCGCTGGACCGTAAGACCTCAGCTTGGGAGTGATCCCGGACGTTGTCATCTCTTTCACCAGTGAAAAGGCCAAGTCGCCATCCCGTTTCGCAACAGCGAGCCTTGCAATGGACGTGAAGGCCGCCTCGTTCGCCGAGATACCTTCGAGTTTCATCCGCTCGTAAATCTCCAGGCCCCTATCCAGTGCCAGCTTCATCACTTCTTGCGACAAGCCCGTGGTGTTTCGTGGCACCAAAGCGGTCATGTTTCCCCGGAACAAAATCCCCTCGTCTTCTACGGTGGCTGCTACCTCCGAAGAACTTTTCTGATGCCTGGTGCCTTTCCCCGGAACGATCACTCCCAATGCAGCCGACGAGCACAGGTACAAGAGAACGTTGTAGTGATACTGGCTCAGCTTCACACCTTGATCCTTGCTGGAGTCGTAAATGTCCAAAGCTCCAGTCACGTCCCCCACTTTCGAGCAGCTCTCCAGCTTGAACCTCAGCTCCGAGTCGGGCGTAAACTTCTTCTTCTTCTGGACGCATCGCTTGCTCTCGTGATTCGTGTTGTCTGTCGCAGCTCTCTTCTTGGTTTCCAGCTGAAGATAATTGACCCTCAGCGGCAGGTCACCCTCCAAAACCTCACTGGCTATCGGCATGACTTCACGAATTCTTCTCTTTCCTTCGGCCAACTTTTGCCTTCTGGATCTCGATCTTCACAGGCAGCGGCTTCAGCCAAAGGACGCTTTCAGGCACGACCAGAGTTTGCAGCTTACCTTCCAGAGGATTGATCGTTTCGGACTTCACTTCGGCTGCCTCGATCTCGATTTTCTTCTTCTTACACTTGGCCGAGGATGAAGAAGATGAAAGCTCCTTAGTTTCCTTCTTGATCCCAGCCTTCTTTGAGCTGGATTTAGCAATGTGAGTGTCGCTTGTAACAGCTATAGACTTCTCGCCCCTCGATTTCTTACTTGGCGAGACTTTGATCTCTCCAGCTTCCTGTGAATCGCCACTTACGGGCCTCCTGTAGCAATGCCAGGGATCTAAGACTACGCCGATCTCTTTACTGTAATAGCTACTCGCGGCTAAGGCTACCGACGCCCTGCAAGCCAAGCTCTCCTTCAAGAATTTAGAATGAATCGAAAGCAAACTACCTAAGGCGCCATGGAGTGGCTGTAGCGATGAGACCAGCGGCGAGAATCGCAAGCAGACGAACGAGATCCCCGAGAGATTCATCGCCAGCACCGCATCGCCACAAATAAATCAAAACGAAAATTCGAGTGGATGAAGAACCCTAAAACCTTAGGGCTCTTGGGTGGGTCACGTGGCAGGGATCTGCCCGTTGAAGTTTTCTATCAGCTCCAATACCGTTGGATAGCTTTTCTTGCAGTCCTGGAATATGCTATCCTGCAAGCACAAGCATAGCTCGCATAAAAACAAATGCTGCCCTAGACGAGACAGCGACGTTGATGCGAAGGAGCTCGTCGATTTCCAGGAGTTTCGAGGTATGAATTCGCGGATTTTGTAGCCGCGAGTGCTCGTCAGAGCGATTCCTCACAGATTTTCTCCAGGATGGGCGTGACCCTGACGCTGCTCAAATCCTTGGTGCCTTATCTCGGGTAAGCTTCTCAATCGTGCCTATCGAGCATTTCGCTAATTTTGCGCGATTCCAGACCGGCTGTGATGCTCGGCTATCCATTGTAAGTTCTCCTCTTTTCCTTCTACGATGTTCTATGTCCAAAACATCATTCTCCTTCTTCCAGGTATCAATCAATCAGGGCGATTGAGAGCCCTTTCAAGGAAGACGATGAGCAATGGCTTACTTACTGGGTGATATATTCCTTCATAGCACTCTTCGAGCTAGCAGCAGACAGAGTCCTAGAAATGTAAGTTCGTTCTTTCTCTTTCTCTATTTCTTGTGGGGCTTTCTTATATGATCTCTTCACTTTTTCGTTCCAGGATTCCAATCTGGCCGATGGTCAAAATACTTTTGATCTTCTGGCTCATACTTCCACAGTTCCGCGGTGCTTGCTTCCTCTACAGGAACTACGTTAGAAGAGGACTATACAACATACAAACCCAAAAGGATCACCTGGACGACGAACACACGTATGACTACAACGAGAAGCAAAAGAAGTTGCTTCGCATGATGAGCTCCGACGCCCGAGTAGCCGTAGCTCAGTACATCTCGGAGTATGGGCCAAACGCGTTCGACAAACTCATCACTTCTGTAACTTGCTCTGACCATTTTTCCTCTGTTCTTCATTCTCATCATTTTTTGTTCCAGGCTACGAAGCAGTCTGCGAAGAACAAGACCTCGCCGAGGACGACGCCTCCAAAGACACCGAAATCTCCCATTCGTCTGCTCTTCGACAAAGCAAAGTTTCACCACTCACCACCGAGCTGACAAAGCTTTCACTCTCCTCGAGTTTGTAAACACTGTGGTATGGTTTTGTTTTCATTTTTTTCCTTCTCGGCACCGATGCGTTAACTTCCAGGATCAATCACCCAAATAACAAACAGAACCTTGTAGATAGCCGCGAGAAGGTAGAAACAACGGCGAGAACACTCGCTGGAACAATTGATCGATTTAAAGTTTGTGCTTTCTTTGCAAACTAACAACACCAGGGAAGTTTTTCTACTCTAGGAACTCAAAGATGGAACTAACCGATAGCTCAACTTTCCAGATCCCCCTCTTCCCGGTTTAAAAGAGAGCTCCTTCCATCACTCGCCTGGAGCGAAGCACTCCACCGGGAAAGTCCGCGTGATCCCGGCCAGGCCGCGGAAGTGGATCTTACCCGAGTCGCGCTCGTCCACCTCGATCTCGTTCACGTCCACCCACAGCAGCAGCTCTCTGGCCTTGACACCGCGCAGCTGCCCCAGCTTGTTCTTGACGATGTGAGCCGTGATCTCGGTGCCGTAGCACACCTTGCGCTTGGCGAGCTTGAAGTAGTGCTCCACTTTCTTCTTGGAGAGGATCCAGACGAAGCCGGTGTCGTGCACCACGCCGCATTCCTCGACATCCTCAAGGGGCAAGAGCCCTCCAGGCAATCCAAACTGCTGGAGCAATTCCACCGCCTTGGGCAGGCAAACTTCGTGCCCCTGGTACATCTCGCCGCCCTTCTTCTGCTCGTCGGTGACCACCATAGCTGTGGAAGCTCGAGAGCTCTCTTTCCCTCTTCTGGAGTGCTCTTCTCTCACTCAGCTCTAGCTATGGCTATAGACGAGATACACAGGGAAGAGAAGGGAGGGATTGTACGTTTTATACAGAGGCGGGATGAGCCAGGGGTCCACAAGTGGTGGAGCGTACGGGCGCGCGTGTCAGCAAAATTTACTCTCGTTAGGTGGCGAACCACGCAGCCCGTATAACGAGAAACAAAACAAAATATGTATTTCTCGTGGAAAAAGTTGACGCGGTCTTTTTAAGTTTGAGGGCGAGAGATATCGAACCGAAAAATGGAAACAAGAACCAACCTTTTGGCTAAGAAAATGTAACTACAATCGTTTATAATTCCGACTCAAATATATAGAACTAATCGTTTAACTTTGATCCAAAGAGTGGAATTTATAGGACTAATCGATCTCTTCTTCATACCGCAGCGAAGCAATCCACCGGGAACGAGCGAGTGATCCCAGCGAGAGCTCTAAACCGGATCTTGCGCTGCTCGACTTCCATGGCTTTCACCTCCACCCACAGCATCATCTCGCGGGCCTTGATCCCGGTTATGTTCTTGAGCTGGCCGCTGGCAGCCACGGCCGTGATCTCCGTCCCAAACGAGACTCTGCGCCCCGCCAGCTTGAAGTAGTGTTCCATCTCCTTCTTGAGGACGATCCAGATGAAGCCGGTCTCTCTCACAATCCCGCATTCTTCCACGCCTGTGAGAGGCAGCAGTCCGGATGGAAGTCCAAACTCGTCCATGAGCTCCATGGACTTCTTGGAGAAGACGGCCTGGCCAGTGTAAACTTCGGCGGCTTTTCGTTGATCCTCGGGAACACCCATGGCGATCGAGCTAAAGTTGACGGTGGTGGTGGTGGTGGTGGCGATGATCTCCGGGAAAAGCCTGCTTCGGTTTTTATACCCGGAAGTTGAGTTGAGCTCAAGGACCGTGTCAAGGTGCCGTGAATGCGGTCGTTCGGGTCATACGCGCAAACTCCAGCTGCTAGACGGCGTCGTCTTTCGGAACCGAGAAAAAAATGTGACTGCAACAAGATCTAAGTCAGAAGAGGGAATCCAAATAATATCAGAAGAAACAAAAGAGAAAGGTGGAGAAAGGTGGAGAAATATTAAAACGTGGAAGGCACTAACCTGATTGCCTACTCGGTGGGAATTCTCTCGAGTGGTTTTGCCTTTTGTTTGTGGCCGATGCTATTCACAAGCGCTTTGCGTGTGCAAACGGGGAACATGTTGAGCTGGAGCAGCCCGAAGCGTCGGAGAACGTAAGGAAAGCTCAGCTGGTCCCTTGCAGTGTAGCGGACCACCTCGTTAAACCACAGGCACATAAACAGGTTGGTCACTGGAGTGTGTTCTCTTACAATCACTGATGCTTCAGCCAATGCTGGAAAACAAACAAAAAAAAAACAAAACATGAGACATGTTTTTAGATACGAAAATATCATTGAAGAATAGTTCAGTACCTTTGTGACCATTGAAAGTTGCGTTTTCTGGAAATCCTTCCGCCTGGTACTGACTGAGTTGCAAGTCCACCTCGGCTGGCAAAGCTTTGTTCTTGGCCACCACGGCTTTGCCTTCACGGTAAACGCACCGTCGAGCTCCATGCTCTGAAATCCCCAGCGCTGCCTGGGGACTCCACAGCAGGGCATGGAAAACTGCCATGGGATCACGACGGAACTGGTACTTGGAGTCCACCCAGATTGAGTATCTGACGTTTGGAAATAGTCTGTGCCCCAGCAACTGCACCAACTCGGAAAGCAATGAGCGAGAAGGTTTTATAAGGACGAAATACCTTTGGAATTTTCCCGTTTCGACGCTGGTCGTTGAAAGGAAGGTTTCGAACGACGACTACTCTCCACAAGCCAGCCATGCGAGTGTCGGGAGATGGTCTTTTATCCTCTGGCATTTGCGAAAGGGTCACCTCGTCCCAAAACGCAACGTAACACACCTGAAAAGTTCTTGTGAGAAACGAAGATCAACTGAAGAGAAATCGATGAGCCAGACCTTTGCTAGAGAAGCATTTGACATGCCAATCGGCTGATAGATATCATCTCCTCCGCCGAAGTTGCAAGTCGTCACAACAGCCTTGCAAGTTTTTAGAAAAGCTGTGTCCACTTCGTCAATGTCAAAACCAGGGTCTTCACCGTAGAAACCACAATGCACCTCCATATTTTCGCGAATCTAGCAAGTAAAGAAAAAAACATTTAGTGTAGAAGCATAGCTATTAACATTCTCACCTGGAACGAGCTATTTCTCTCAGCCATGGTCTGAGATCCCACAAATCTGTTCGTGTTTGCTTCCACACCACTTCCCGACTGCTTGGCAAAGCGAAGATCTCCCAAGGGACTAGGAAGTCTCGATGGGAATTCAAGCTTTTCAATCACTTCATCGCTTGGGAGCTTCAAACATGCTGGAAGAAGCACAAGAGAAAAAAAAAACACTGCGCGTTACTGCCTTACATAAAAGGAAAACGCTTACGTTCACTGTGTCCTTTCGCTCTCCTCATCGGCATTGCCAGGCTACCGAGATTCGATTCCTTCCTCCCTGTCGCAGTAATCTCTGGATTCGCATTCTCCACTTCGATCCGGGCCTTCTTTCCTTCCAATTCACAGAATTACACCGCAAGAAAGAAGAAAATCTCACGCGCGCCTACCTCCCCGCTCTCATCCGGCCAAACTCGCAGTTCCGCGATGAGGACGAGAAGCGCCGCCATTGCGAGAGCTGGACACAACCATCTCAATGCCGCCTGGATCACGACCTTCTGCCATCCACTCCGGATCTTCTTCCTCTTCATCGCTTCCCCCCAAAAGCCCTAAGAACAAGTGAGTGACGTGGCAGCCTAAATTCTTTGTAAATCTAGATCTTTGATAGTAAAATGTATGGAGCGGACAAAACGTTTGTCGAGTCCAAGTCTATAACATTCTTTGCGGCTTTGCTCCTCACATTTTTCTCGCCTTTGCAAGGTTCTCTAGAGCTCGCACTGAGCAGCGATTTCCATGCGATCTCACTGGGTGTGAATGGCATGTTGTCAATCAAGTCTTGGGCATCTTTAATCTTCCCGGCCCTGGCCATGAGATCAACCATGCAGCAGTAGTGCTCGCTCGAGGCCTGGATTCCATAGTCCGAAACCATGGACACAAAGTGGTAGATTCCATCCTCGAGCATTCCTCCCTGGCTACAGGCGGTGAGAACATTCGTGTAGAGGATCTCGTCCGGCTCGACTCCAAGGATTTGCATCTCCGAGAGGAGATCTAGCGCGGCGTGGTTTTGGCCGCCGCGTACGTAGGCTGTGAGCATCGCGTCCCATGCAAGGAGATCGCAAACTGGGAGATTGGCGAACAAATCCTCGGCTCGATCGAGCTTTCCTTTGCGAGCGAAGAAAGCGATCATGGTCGTGACCGGAGTGATGCTCATCTCCGGCATGGAGTGGAAGATCTCCTCGGCCTCGTCCATTAGATCGTTTGCGACGTAAGCTTCGAGCATGGCAGTCCAAGTCACGATGTTTCGCTCGGGAAGGGAATCGAACACCCGCCTGGCGGATCGCACGCTTCCGTCCTGGGAATATGCCAGGATCGCCGCGGTGGAAGATACCACGTCGTGCTCCGGCATATTCTTGAACATCTCAATGGCTTGTAGCAGATACCCTGAAAGGGCATATGCCTGAAGCATCGTTGTCCAGGAGACGAGATTCCACTGGGGCATTTTTTCAAAAGCTTCTTTGGCGCGATCAACTTCACTAAGGTCAGAGAGAATTACCACAATGCAAGTCCAGGAGATGATATTCCGATATGGAATTTTGCCGAACAAATCAATGGCCTCCTTCACATGCCCATTCTGGGCATACACGTAAAGCATCGCATTCCACGACGAGGGATTCTTTTCCGGAATGCTGTCAAAGAGATCCCGGGCGTCGCTAACTCGGCCGTGGATTCCAAAACTGGAAAGAAGCGTGGTAAAAGCAATGTCGTTCCTCTCCGGCATAATGGCGAAGAGATGGACGGCTGTGGTGAGCTCCCCATTCTGGGCGTAAGCTTGCAGCAAGGCGGTCCAGGTTACCAGAGATTTCTCCGGCATGGAATCGAAGATCCGCTGCGCTGCTTCCAAATCACCTCGCTGGGCAACGCAAACCATGATCGAAGTCCACGAAATCACGTTTCGCTCCGGCATCGCCTCGAAGATCGCCATGGCGGCGGCGCAATCGCCGCCAAGAACATAGGCGTGGAGCAGCGAATTCCAGGAGACGATGTTCTTGGGCTCTTTCATGCGATCAAACACGCTCTTAGCCTCGAGGGGAAGCCCCGACTGCCCAAATGCCGCGATCATCGAGTTCCACGACACAAGATTGGGGGCGGGCAACCGATCAAAGAGGGCTTTGGCCTCGATCGCCTGGCCGTGATGCGCCAGCGCCGAGATCATCGCATTCCAGGACACTGTGTCGCGAGTGGGCATTCGATCGAAAGTCTCCCACGCATCGTCCAGATGCCCATTCTCGGCATACGCGTGTAGCATCATGTTCCACGAGTAGATGTTTGCCTCCTCCTGGATGAGATTGAAAACCCCTCTCGCGTCCTCGACGCTGCCGCATTTGCCATACATCTGGATCAGGAGATTGGCGAGGTACTTGTCCTCCGAGAGATCGCTGGCCAGGAGCTGCGCGTGGATCTCCCTCGCTCGCGGCAGATTGCGCGAGTCGCCGATCCGGCGGATGAGCTGCGCGAATTTCTGCTGTGGATCAACGCGATTGAGCAGCGTCTCGCTCGCCATTGCCGCGCGCGAGGCATGAGCCCTAATTCTTCGCCACGTGGGGTGCCACGTTGCGAAATTTTCTGACACGTGTTTGCATTGCAGGCTTCCACGTGTAAGGTTGACGTTTAAATGGGTGACAATGGGGCTCTTCTATTTCCACTACTCTCTATGGCTGGGAAGTGTGTCAAAGTGTCGCATAGATTGGCAATGATCGCGCCCGCACGGTAAGATATCAAATTCTCGAATTTCTAGCGAACTTTTGCTTGTCTGCCAAAGATCACGATTCATCGCCGGGGCGGCAGACGATGCTCGCGGGCCTGCAAAGAAGCAGCAATGGTGGAGGCCCGATCCGGTGACTGGAACTTGGATTCCCGAAGGCCACGAAGGGCAAATCGACACGGTGGAGCTCCGCGAGGAGCGGCTGCGCAGCGTCCCCACGGCATCGCTTGAGGATCGCGGATGGTGGAGCTCGCTGGAAGATCTTCCCGATCGAGACGAAGCCACGCCCAAGAACACCAAGAGCACGACTTAATCCGCAGCTGCAACTCATCGTCTTGCCAAGAATAGAAAAGGCGCAAGCGTTTCTATATTGGGATGGTAGTTCTTTGATAAACACGTTTTGTTAAATTAATTAAACTTACCATACGTCAGTGGTTCGATTCCAGCGGATCTCGCTTTAAAAGATCTTGTTGTTTACAATTTGGTCATAGCACGCAAAAACTGACGAGTTTCTTCTTGTCAGAATCTTGTTCAAGCATCCGATCTTAGCTCAGTTGGTAGAGCGGAGGACTGTAATATTCTCAGAAATCCTTAGGCCGCTGGTTCGATTCCAGCAGATCGGACATTTTTTTTTTATCTTTATATAATTTCAAATTTTGGAAAGACTTATGATCTTCCCAAGCAGATAAAAGAGAGAGGAATGTAATCTCAAAGAATATACGAAAGTTGCCTTTGTGATCTGGATTGGGATCTAAATCTTGCTGATACTAGGAGAGTTTTTCCCATATCAGAGTTGGGCAGGATTGTCAAAGTTGAAAAGCACCTGAATGCAGATTCTTTGCTTCTTGAAGAAATTGATGCTGGTGAAGACACTCCGACGACAATTGTTAACGGTCTGGTAAAACAACCATAAGTCCTTTTGAAATTTATAAATTGCATAACAGAATTATCACAAAGTGATCTTGGTTTTTGGTAGTAAATTTACATATGTCTATCCTAGTTGCAGGTCACCCTTTCATCCAAAGTTGTGCTAGGGCTGCTCTTGGGAGGGACGTGATTCACACGCTGGACTGCCTGGCATCGTATAGCCCTAGTCCAAAACTCTTCTACCATTGCTAGAGCATTCTTCAGATTCTCTTATATCTCCCATGTTGCAGAAGCAGCTGGAAATCCCATCCAAAGAACTAGATACTCTCTCTTACCTGTAGTAGCCCCAATCTTAGTATCAATCACTTGTTCCACCTCCCACTTGGAGCCCTCTATTAACGTAAACACACTCCATTAAGCAGTAACAAATTATGTACTTAAGATATGGCAATTAACCATTCTAATTTAAATATTGAAAGTTTGATGGTAATATAAAAGTGTGGATATTAATTGATTAAAGAAGAAGTATTTAACAGTAGTTATAAATAAACTAGATTCCTCTTACTAAGTAAGTAATTGAAAGCAATAATGGCATACTCATTAATAATAATCAATTGTAAAAAGGTTCTATCAAATCAAACACCGTTCACTTAAAATTATAAAAAATTGTAATTGACTCTAGTCATCCTTCTAGGTAGAGTATTATTAATTTGGCATCCTAAGGTAAAATATTATTAACTTAGCATTAAATGCAACTATCATACTATATCTTTAGCTAATAAAAAAACTTATATAACTTCTCAATCACAAAATGATATCCCAAAATAAAAGAGTTATAATAAGCATGAAAAAAATGTGGAATAAAGATTGAAGATACATATAGTCATCAAAATTAATATCCACAAATTGAAAAAGGTTGTCCTCAACGTGATATTGAGTTGAAATGGCAATAAAAAATATAGTATTGTCAAACTTATCAGGAAACCTCATTAAGAGAAGGTAAATTTAATTTACAAGAACTATTAATAGTGGAATCTGAAAATCCACTTACTTCTCAGAAACACAAGAAAGCAAAAATACAAAACACAATATATGTGGGCTGGGGACACATGCTTAAACCATCCCTCTAGTTTCCTTGCTAATAAAACATTTATCAACATAGTGCAATCCTTGAAAATAAACAAGAAAAAAATCTTACTTGCAATTGCTCAAGGATCCAAACTGGTCGAGCTCGGGCGGGCCACCTCGGGCACTTTGGCCACCCGAGGGGCAGGATTCTCCACTTCACCTGGTGAGGAAGCTGGATCCATTAGTGAGATGGAGAAGAGGAATCCAGCTCTAATTTCTCCAGGTAACAATATTGCAGCGCCAGCTCTGGCTGAGGATCCTCCAGCTCCGGTTCCTCCAGCCACGAGGAAGCATGACTACACGTCTCGTAGCCCTATGTTTTTCACTGCTTTTCCCCTTGGGCCAGCGTTTCTTTCTCTTTCTGTGTTTGTAGAAAAGAAATTGCAGGAAACCGAAGATCGAAGACATCTCAATGTCTTGACATGAATTTAAATTCTCCCGGGGCGCCAAGAATTTTTTGAAGGCGATGGCGATGGCCACGGTAGCTCCGGCACCACCAGTGCGACGGGGAGCTGAGCTTGTAAGTCAGTGGTACGCTATAGATTTCCGAGCGAGCTCTGCAAATAATTTTCTCTTGCTTCTTCTCCATCAGTTCCCCCAGTGCGACTCAAGAAGTACGTAAGCTCAATCGCCCGGCTGACGAGGACGGGACACCTCCTGGCGACGAGCAGCTCCGAAATTTTATGCCGGCAGAGACGAGAACTGGCTCTAGATACAATCTCCCGCCGCGGTTCTCGAGCAGTCGACTCCAGCAGCAGCGGCGTCGAGCAACGCTGCTTGGCAGCTCGAACTTTAGACTTTGCAGTCGCGCGAAACTGGGACGTTATTGACGTGTACAAACTTTTCAGTTCTGTGGCTTATATTGTATTGATGTGCTGGCTGTGAAAATATTTATATGTGATCATTCTTTCCTATACTCT